TTTCTGGGATAATGGTGTTGATGTGAGCCATGACCAGCCTTTCAAAGCACTTCATCGCTACAGACGTGAGTGCTACAGGTCGGTAGTCATTTAGGCAGGTTATCGTAGTGTTCTTGGGCACAGGGGCTATGGTTGTCTGCTTGAGACATGTTGGTATTACAGACTCAGTCAGGGACATGTCAGTGAAGACAATTGCCAGTTGGTCAGCGCATGCTCGGAGTACGTGTCCTCGTAATCCGTCTGGCCCTGCGGCCTTGTGAATGTTGATCTGCTGAAAAGTCTTACTCACATCGGCTATGGAGAGCGTGATCACATAGTCATCCGGAAACAGCTGATGCTCTCATGCATGCTTCAGTGTTGCTTGCCTCGAAGCGAGCATAGAAGTGATTTAGCTCGTCTGGTAGACTTGCGTCACTGGGCAGCTCGCGGCTGTTCTTCCCTTTGTAGTTTGTAATAGTTTGCAAGCCCTGCCACATCCGACGAGTGTCGGAGCCGGTGTAGTACGATTCAATCGTAGTCCTGTATTGACTCTTTGCCTGTTTGATGGTTCGTCGGAGGGCATAGCGGGATTTCTTATAAGTGTCCGGGTTAGAGTCCCGCTCCTTGAAAGCGGCAACTCTACCCTTTAGCTCAATGCGGATGTTGCCTGTAATCCATTGCTTCTGGCTGGGGTATGTACGTACGGTCACTGTGGGGACGATGTCATCAATGCACTTATTGATGAAGCCAGTGACTGATGTGGTGTACTTCTCAATGCCATCGGAAGAATCCCATAACATGTTCCAGTCTGTGTTAGCAAAACAGTCCTGTAGCTTAGCATCTGCGTCATCTGACCACTTCCTTATTAACCGAGTTACTGGTGATTCCTGCTTTTGTTTTTGCTTATAAGCAGGAATCAGGAGGGTAGAATTATGGTCCCATTTGCCAAATGGAGGGCGAGTGAGAGCTTTGTAAGCGTCTCTGTGTGTGGAGTAAAGGTGGTCTAGAGTTTTTTTTTCCTCTGGTTGCAGATTTAACATGCTGGTAGAAATTAAGTAGAACTGATTTAAGTTTCCATGCATTAAAGTCCCCGGCCACTAGGAGTGCTGCCTCTGGATGAGCGTTTTCCTGTTTTATTATGGCCTTATACAGTTCATTCAGCGCAGTCTTAGTGCCAGCATCAGTTTGTGGTGGTAAATAGACAGCTACGAAAAATATAGGTAAATAGTGTGGTCTACAGCTTATCATGAGATACTCTACCTCAGGCGAGCAAAACCTTGAGACTTCCTTAATATTAGATTTTGTGCACCAGCTGTTGTTTTTATAAATATACACAGACCGTCACCCCTTGTCTTACCGGAGTCAGCCGTTCTATCCTGCCGATGTAGCGTATATCCCGCCAGCTGTATGTTATCCATGTCGTCGTTCAGCCACGACTCAGTGAAACATAAGATATTACAGTTTTTAATGTCCCGTTGGTAGGATATCCGTGATCGTAGGTCGTCCATTTTGTTTTCCAATGATTGTACGTTGGCTAATAGGACTGATGGAAGAGGAAGATTATTTGCTCGCCGTCGGATCCTTAGAAGGCACCCCGACCTACGTCCACAATATCTCTGTCTCTTTCTCATGCGAATGACGGGGATTTGGGCCTTGTCGGGTGTCTGTAGAATATCCTTTGTGTCCGACTCGTTGAAGAAAACATCTTTGTCCAATACGAGGTGAGTAATCGCTGTCCTGATATCCAGAAGCTCTTTTTGGTCATAAGAGATGGTGGCAGAAACATTATTTACAGAATAATTTACAAATAACGCTAAAAAACATACATAACAGCACAATTGGTTAGGGGGCCGTAAAACGGCAGCCATCTCCTCCGGCGCCATTCTGCTATTTCAGCCACACCCGTTGCTGACAGGTGTATAAAATCGAACACACAGCCATGCAATTTCCATAGACACACATTGGCAGTAGAATGGCCCCCGAAGAGCTCAGTGTCTTTCAATGTGGTACCGTCATAGGATGCCACCTTTCCAACAAGTCAGTTTGTAAAATGTCTGCCCTGCTAGAGCTTCCCTGGTCAAGTATAAGTGCTGTTATTGTGAAGTAGAAACGTCTAGGTGCAACAATGGCTCAGCTGCGAAGTAGTAGGCCACACAAGCTCACAGAACGGGTCCGCCGAGTGCTGAAGCGGGTAGTGCGTAAATATCGTCTGTCCTCGGTTGCAACACTCACTACCGAGTTCCAAACTGCCTCTGGAAGCAATGTCAGCACAAGAACTGTTCATCGGGAGCTTCATGAATTGGGTTTCCATGACCGAGCAGCCGCACACAAGCCTAAGATCCATGCGCAATGCCAACTGTTGGCTGGAGTGGTGTAAAGCTCGCCGCCATTGGACTCAGTGGAAACGCGTTCTCTGGAGTGATGAATCACGCAGTCAGATGGAAGAATCTGGGTTTGACGGATGCCAGGAGAACGCTGCCTGCTTGAACTGTAAACTGTAAAGTTTGGTGGAGGAGGAATAATGGTCTGGGGATGTTTTTCATGGTTCAGGCTAGGCCCCTTAGTTTCACTGAAGGGAAATCTTAACGTTACAGCATACAATGACAATGGACATTTTCAACTCTTATTATGGTGGCGATTTGACAAAATTACAATCATGGTCTTGAATTGGACTCACATTTTTCTGGTCTCGGTCTTGACTCGGTCTTGGACCCCTTGTCCCCCTCCCGGTCTCGGTCTTGACTCTGTCTCACCCCCCCCTCCAGTCTTGGTCTTGACTCGGACTCGATTTACTCCGGTCTTGGTCTAAAATGTAACGGGAGTGCTCCTAATCTCAGCTTGTTACCTGTATAAAAGACACCTGTCCACAGAAGCAATCAATCAATCAGATTCCAAACTCTCCACCATGGCCAATACCAAAGAGCTCTCCAAGGATGTCAGGGACAAGATTGTAGACCTACACAAGGCTGGAATGGGCTACAAGACCATCGCCAAGCAGCTTGGTGAGAAGGTGACAACAGTTGGTGCAATTATTCGCAAATGGAAGAAACACAAAATAACTGTCAATCTCCCTCGGCCTGGGGCTCCATGCAAGATCTCACCTCGTGGAGTTGCAATGATCATGAGAACGGTGAGGAATCAGCCCAGAACTACACGGGAGGATCTTGTCAATGATCTCAAGGCAGCTGGGACCATAGTCACCAAGAAAACAATTGGTAACACACTACGCCGTGAAGGACTGAAATCCTGCAGCACATGCAAGGTCCCCCTGCTCAAGAAAGCACATATACAGGCCCGTCTGAAGTTTGCCAATGAACATCTGAATGATTCAGAGGAGAACTGGCTGAAAGTGGTGTGGTCAGATGAGACCAAAATCGAGCTCTTTGGCATCAACTCAACTTGTCATGTTTTGTCTCCTGAGTGGCGCAGTGGTCTAAGGCACTGCATCGCAGTGCTAACTGTGCCACTAGAGATCCTGGTTCGAATCCAGGCTCTGTCGCAGCCGGCCGCGACCGGGAGACTCATGGGCGGCGCACAATTGGCCCAGCGTCGTCCAGGGTAGGGGAGGGAATGGCTGGCAGGGATGTAGCTCAGTTGATAGAGCATGGCGTTTGCAATGCCAGGGTTGTGGGTTCAATTCCCACGGGGGGCCAGTATGAAAAAATATGTATTCACTAACTGTAAGTCACTCTGGATAAGAGCGTCTGCTAAATGACTAAAAATGTTTAAAAAATGGAAGAGGAGGAATGCTGCCTATGACCCCAAGAACACCATCCCCACCGTCAAACATGGAGGTGGAAACATTATGCTTTGGGGGTGTTTTTCTGCTAAGGGGACAGGACAACTTCACCGCATCAAAGGGACGATGGACGGGGCCATGTACCGTCAAATCTTGGGTAAGAACCTCCTTCCCTCAGCCAGGGCATTGAAAATGGGTTGTGGATGGGTATTCCAGCATGACAATGACCCAAAACACACGGCCAAGGCAACAAAGGAGTGGCTCAAGAAGAAGCACATTAAGGTCCTGGAGTGGCCTAGCCAGTCTCCAGACCTTAATCCCATAGAAAATCTGTGGAGGGGGCTGAAGGTTCGAGTTGCCAAACGTCAGCCTCGAAAACTTAATGACTTGGAGAAGATCTGCAAAGAGGAGTGGGACAAAATCCCTCCTGAGATGTGTGCAAACCTGGTGGCCAACTACAAGAAACGTCTGACCTCTGTGATTGCCAACAAGGGTTTTGCCACCAAGTACTAAGTCATGTTTTGCAGAGGGGTCAAATACTTGTTTCCCTCATTAAAATTCAAATCAATTTATAACATTTTTGACATGCGTTTTTCTGGATTTTGTTGTTGTTATTCTGTCTCTCACTGTTCAAATAAACCTACCATTAAAATTATAGACTGATCATGTCTTTGTCAGTGGGCAAACGTACAAAGTCAGCAGGGGATCAAATACTTTTTTCCCTCACTGTATACAGTGTAGGCCTCCACCACCTAAACACTCAAGTTACCATGAAATATATCAGCTATTTTAGAGTAGGTATAAGAGAGGTGCCACCACTCAAGCCGTAAAAGTGCAGGTTCTTAGTACCAGTCAGCACCACCCCACTTTAACCACTGATCTTAGCCCACCATTTATGGACCCCCCTCTCTAACCCAGTGGTTCCCAACCTTTTTCAATTACTGTACCACCAACTGAATTTTGCTCTGCCCGGAGTACCCTTTAAGTACCTCCTCATGTGCATTTTACCAGTAGGCCTATGGTCTCATGAGTCTTCTCAAATACCCATGTGGATTGGCCAAGTCCCCCCTAAGGGGGTCCTGGTACCCCTGACTGGGAACCACTGCTCTAACCTATGCTCCACCCTGATCCCCCAGTGCCCCTACTTCCTTGTGAGGTTCCGTAACCAGGGAGACCCTCGACTCCTGCTCAAAAACGTCAACCCCAGAGAGGTAGCACCCTATACACACGCACACATTGACCATTATGAATGGTACTATGGTTGTTATTGCAGGCAGATATTATGGATGCTGCAGCAGGAGTCCACATCAGATTCAGACTGGGAAGGGTGAGTTCATTTTGACAGTGCTAAAAAAGCTGAAAAAACACCCATCACTCACAATACAAATAGATGTGTGCATGCTAATGTGAGATTTGTTTGTCTTTCCCCACATAGACCACCTTTCCCCCGAGCACATCGTGGACATGTGTGCCAACAATGAATACAATTATTTATTCCTTGAGTTGAGGCACAAAATAACCAAACCAACAACTTCTGTGTGATTATAGCATCCCCTTCTGGTCAAAGGGAGTAATAACTCTCTGTCTCTGTCTCTGTCTCTGTCTCTGTCTCTGTCTCTGTCTCTGTCTCTGTCTCTGTCTCTGTCTCTGTCTCTGTCTCTGTCTCTGTCTCTGTCTCTCCCAGATAAGCGGCTGGTCCCGTCCTAGCTGGAACCTTGTGTTGAGTTCTCAGGGCTGGGGCAGGAGGACAACCAAGTTGGCACCTACAGCAGTATCCTCCACCCCCTGGTCTCCAGCCTCATGAAGTCAGAACACTCCAAGGCCAATCTCTCTGACGGACTGAATGGCTGGCTGACTGACTGTACTGTATCGCTGACTAGACCAGAAAATTGCAATACAGACTAACAGAGACTACTAAACCATGACCCCTATGCAGTGAGATTCAATTAAATGTGAAGAGAAATAAAGCGAAGTGTTGAATGTCACTTTGTGATATATACTTTTAGTCCTACATTTTGGAGCGTAAACTATGTATTTTCTACACCACTGTTTTACAAACTGTAATGGGTCTAAGGACATCAGATGTAGTATGCAAGCCAGATACAATGTGCTTCTAAAGATTATCCCTATTCATCTTCAAATTATCACTCAAAGAAGGACACAAAAATGAGGGGGCACCCGGATTTGAACCGGGGACCTCTTGATCTGCAGTCAAATGCTCTACCACTGAGCTATACCCCCATGGAGTAATAAGTGAAATATATTCATATATAAAGAAACATCTGTCTAACTGTGGCTGTTGTGTATAGTATTATAAATTATATACGAACACATGTAAACGACAACACTACAACAGTTTAAACTGCAGCATACGTTGTACTTTCCTTTTTATTTCCTTCTACTTGCCTGGTTGTATTCGGATGTGTCGTAAAACTAACGCGACCCCAACCGGAAGTTTTGTACTGAAAGTGAAAACAGCCGCATCACAGCGACAATGGTAGCAACATTTGTTGTTTAATTATTACAGTAAATGTGTAAAATTGATGTTTGTTCTAGATAACTATATTGTTTATAATACCAAATCATCGTGGGGTTCTGGGCCTTTACTGCTAGCTGTATTTGTAGAGACGTTTTGATTTTGATTAGTCACTCACTAACAGGAGCTAGCTAACGCTAACTAGCAGCGATGATGTAGCCAACGTTAGCTAGCTACCATTAGCTATCTATCAAGCTATCTCTGTTTGCGTCAGTCCCTTTGGTTAATGTATCTAACTTAAGCGAAAAACAAACCAGAAGTGGGCGAAGCAAGCAGAGCGAGGCAGGTGGAAAGGAAGGGACAGGCAGAGTAGTGACTGTATGCTAGAAGGATAGGCCAAAGCTCAAATATTATTTGCTGATAGCGATATTGTTTCCATAAGTTGATGAATTTGTCTAAGTTAGCATGTATGGTAAAGCCTCAACCCTTAGCTACCTCTTCCAATTTAAATGAGGCCGGGAAAAAACGGAATAAGGACAAAGTGTTTTGTTTTATGTGACTACAGGGCAAGCGGTAACACACACGTTCTAAATGAGTGAGGCATCAAAGCCGACAACCCCAATGCATTCAAAAATAAATCACTATGAAAAACAATGCATTCGAAAATAAATCACACACGCTTCGCACGACACCTTTGGTGAGTTTAGGTCATTAACGTTAGCTAGCTACGTTAGCAACATAGCAACGCGCCAATCATCATCTTCCTCTGTCATTTGTTTCGTGGCAACTATCTAACAATGTAGCAACTCGCTGAAGTTAACTCAGTTGTTTGAGTTGCCGTAAACAGTGTTACCATGCCTCTGCTATAATTCTAATCGAGTTGTGTTTTGTTAATCTCCAGAATACCCGTGGACTCAGATCACAGCTGAAGGACAGTGTACCGGTGACGGGCATGGGTCCCCAGGTTGGGGCTTATGGCGTTCAGGACACACTCAGGAGCGGGTGAGAGTACTGTCTCTGTGTTGGACACTCATTTAAGTCAAAGTATGTAGCTAGCTAACTATCCGTTTTAGATATATAACTGACATTTGCACCTCTCCCTCGGTTTCTCTCTCTCTCAGATTCAGCAGTGTGAAAAATGAGCTTCTCCCCAGCCATGCGTTGGAGCTGTCAGAAAAGAATGTGAGTGACCAACACATTTGACACACAAGGTGTGCTACAGCCTAGGCATCTTTCCTGGGAGCTAATACAAATCTTCGGGTCTCATACAGCATTAATGTCCCAACCACCTCTGCTACTTTAGCTCCAGTATTGAGTGTTTTCTCCTCTCCCTGCAGTTTCAGCTGAACCAGGACAAGATGAACTTCTCTACCCTCAGAAACATCCAGGGCCTCCACGCTCCCCTTAAACTACAGATGGAGTACAGGGCAGCCAGACAGGTATATACAAACTCTATCTCACTCACAATAGCGTATCTCTGATGTTCATTGAAAACAATGAACAGTGTCTGAGCAATTTCAAAAAATACCTTTCCCACTTATCCCTTCCCTCTTTCCTCCCCATCTCAGATCCAGCGCCTGCCGTTCCTGCAGAGCTCACACCTGGCTCTGGACACTCTCAAAGGGAACGATGAGAGCATCAGCTTTGAGGACATCCTCAACGGTAAGTCACACACTAACAATAGGTTTTCTACAAAGGAGGAGAACAGAAAGATGAGATCAAGAACTAAAGCCAACAGGGAACACAGTTGAAGTGAAACTGATGAGAACTCACTGCCATGTTGTTTTTCTGATGCGAAAATGTTGTGAGTTCACCATTTTGTGTCCATTTCCTTGCAGATCCAGCCCAGAGTGAGATGATGGGCGAGCCCCACGTCATGGTGGAGTATAAGTTGGGCATGATGTAAGAGCCATCCAACACCAGGACGTTTGTTTTTACCCTCTGTTAATTAGTTACCGTGTGACAATGCATCTGCTTTAGAGGTGGTCACTCACTTCCTCATATGTGAGACAGCACTCAAGACTTTTGTATCATTGGATTCCTTTGTTTCTAATAAATCCTGTAACTCAACCATGATGGTGTTGATTTATTACGGGTGTGTGGTAATGTTTTGTTGTATGATTGCTTGTTCATTTAATTTCTAGAAATACACACCTAAGCACACAACGCATCAAGTTTTTTATTGTTAATACAAAGGCAATATTTGTTGCACTGAGAAATGGTTAGTGGTCCTTATTTGATACGTTGATTGTGTGTAGGTTTAACTCTTCAACGATTCATCTTATCCATCATGACCACACTAATCTGTCTGTCGGATGCCCCTGACAGTACGTACTCTCCCTTGTAGTCAAAAACAACACTGCACAGTGCCCTCGTGCTTCAGCACACACGCCACATAGGACACCAGATCCACCACCCGGTTGCTAGACTGTGGCCCTGTCTCTATGGTGAACATGTCCGCTGCCCTCCTGACTTCACATAGCATGACAGCACCACAGGAATCGCAGGTCGCAATCAGCTCTCCTTCAGGAAGCCCCCACAGCCTCCAGAGCTGGTCGTCACTAGCCGAGGCAACCAATAATTTTCAAGTAATTTGAGTTGCTACTAGGTATAGCCTGTGGGAAGTAGGGGTGCTGAAGCACCCCCTGAAAAATGTAAATAAATATACTGTATATACAGTGCATTCGGAAAGTATTCAGACCCCTTCACTTTTTCCACATTTTGTTACGTTACAGCCTTATTCTAAAATTGATTTAATTATTATTTTTCCTCATCAATCTACACACAATACCCCATAATGACAAAGCAAAAACATAAATACCTTATTTACATACGTATTCAGACCCTTTGCTATGAGACTCGAAATTGAGCTCAGGTGCATCCTGTTTCCATTGATCATCCTTGAGATGTTTCTACAACTTGATTGGAGTCCACCTTTGGTACATTCAATTGATTGGACATGATTTGGAAAGGCACACACCTGTCTATATAAGGTCCCACAGTTGACAGTGCATGTCAGAGTAAAAACCAAGCTCCGAGACAGGATTATGTCACGGCACAGATCTGGGGAAGGGTACCAAAACATTTCTGCAGCATTGAAGGTCCCCAAGAACACAGTGGCTTCCATCATTCTTAAATGGAAGAAGTTCGGAACCACCAAGACTCTTCCTAGAGCTGGCCGACCCGGCCAAACTGAGCAATCGGGGTAGAAGGGCCTTGGTCAGGGAGGTGACCGATGGTCACTCTGACAGAGCTCCAGAGTTCCTCTGTGGAGATGGGAGAACCTTCCAGAAGGACAACCAGCTCTGCAGCACTCCACTAGTCAGGCCTTTATGGTAGAGTGGCCAGACGGAAGCCACTCCTCAGTAAAAGGCACATGACAGCCCGCATGGAGTTTGCCAAAAGGCACCTAAAGGACTCTCAGACCATGAGAAACAAGATTCTCTGGTGTGATGAAACCAAGATTGAACTCTTTGGCCTGAATGCCAAGCGTCACGTCTGGAGGAAACCAGGCACCACTCATCACCTGGCCAATACCATCCCTACGGTGATGTATGGTGGTGGCAGCATCATGCTGTGGGGATGTTTTTCAGCGGCAGGGACTGGGAGACTAGTCAGGATCAAGGGAAAGATGAACGGAGCAAAGTACAGAGATCCTTGATGAAAACCAGCTCCAGAGCGCTCAGGAACTCAGACCGGGGCGAAGGTTCACCTTCCAACAGGACAACGACCCGAAGCACACAGCCAAGACAACGCAGAAGTGACTTCGGGACAAGTCTCTGAATGTCCTTGAGTGGCCCAGCCAGAGCCCGGACTTGAACCCGATCTAACATCTCCGGAGAGACCTGAAAATAGCTGTGCAGCAACGCTCCCCATCCAACCTGACAGAGCTTGAGAGGATCTGCAGAGAAGAATGGGAGAAACTCCCCAAATACAGGTGTGCCAAGCTTGTAGCGTCATACCCAAGAAGACTCAAGGCTGTAATCGCTGCCAAAGGTGCTTCAACAAAGTACTGAGTGAAGGGTCTGAATACTTATGTAAATGTGATATTTCAGTTGTTGTTGTTTTTATACATTTTCTAAAACGTCTAAAAACCAGTTTTTGCTCTGTCATTATGGGCTATTGTGTGTAGATTGATGAGGGGGGTAAAAAACAATTTAATCCATTTTAGAATAAGGCTGTAATGTAACAAAATGTGGAAAAAGTCAAGGGGTCTGAATACTTTCCGAATGTACTATATATATATATATCTGTATTGCAGCACCCCACCCCCAAACTACTTCCTGCAGCTATGCTACTAGGGAAATAATAAAATGACTGGATACATAAAGGGTGTGCCATGACATCCAGTGGTGTAGAGGAGGGTATACACAGCATACCCCCACATTCTTCAGTGGACATTGCCTATATTCCCTTCTTAATCCCCACTGATATGTATCAAAGTAGTGTAGTGGAAGTATATGCCATATCAATGAATAAGGCTGGAACAGATCAGAATGTTTAGCTTAAAATGTTGATAAATTATTATATTTTCTTCACATTTTAGGCCCAGAAATGTACACATGGCGGTAGGCCTAGGCTTGAAAGTTCCAAAATGCAATTGCGTGAAAACACTGTTCTAAAATACACACCGCACATGCGAGTTTCAGATGGAAATATCCGTTAGAAATGTTGAAAGGGGGATTTAAAGATGCAACAACTATCATGGGTTGCTAATATTACTAGGATAATGGCTTTGGCTGCTAGACAATGAAATACATTTTAAAGAAAACCAATAGAACAGGATAAGACATGAGTAAGTCTTTATTTGCTATAGGCTACTTTGAAGCAAGGTAAGAGATGCCTCATATGAAGTAAAACGTCTAGGTGTCAAACAATTAAGGAAAAGGGAAAATATAGCGATGCTGTCTTCAGGTAGATGGAAAGGCTTTCCCAAAAACATTCTCTATTAAATGTTAACTAGCTACAAAGTAGCCTATTTTGCTTCAATCCAGTGCCCATTTCTTTTGCAAACACTGCTAACCAAACAACAGTGCTAGGTGCCTGCACACTTGAATTAAAAGGCAACTAAGTACACTCAAATCTAAATTTCTTAGATTTTTTCCCAGACCTCAAAGGTGGTATCCTGATGTGGTTCAAGCATTGTCATGGTATTAGAACATACCATTTTGGTGTATTTCTGTTTTTTTAAAAGTGTAACGTTGAGAGCGAAAACCTGAAAAAAATTGCAACATTTGAAAGGTCAATTTCTGACTCAGTTGACAGCCTAATGGATCTGTTTCAATAGTAGGCCTACTATTAGCCTACTTGCACAGCTTGGGTTGGCCTGACTGTGTTCAATATGGGATTCATGATTTTAGGTCATTCAGAGTGTATGTCACACAGTTTCTCATATAATCTTTCACACAGGGCACCTTTCCTTCGCTGGGCGGCGGTTTGGAAATGTTTTGGCAAAATTAGAGTATACCCACTTCTCCGGGCAGCACTACACCACATCTCAACATCATCCTCTTACCTCGGCGCGTTTTTCAGCTCGCTGTCAAGAATATGGTTTTGCACACCTGGAACTAGCCCCACATCCTCCATGCTCAAGAGACATTTGTGCGCCATCTCGTTCCACTCGGTTTGAAAGCAATCCATCGTTTTGTTCATGCCCATTCTGACGAGGAAGTTGCGTAGAAAGTCGTCCACAATTTCGTGCATGCAAGAAACTTGGGGCTTGGATGTGTCAGGGTTTTGCACAATGGACGCAGCAGTCATCTGCGCGTTCCTGGAATAACCTTCACCGTTGCCTCAATCCTCATCCACCCTATTCGATGTCAACCTCTTCGTATGGAGAGTCTATGGATATTGTAACGGACTCAAGGTAAAATATATCGGACTATATCGGAAGTCTTTGTGTACATTTTTCGCCACTCGAAAGTTGACAGTCCCGTGTGGAACGCCTCGAGGAGCTGATGGCCATACTGTTGGCCTTGCAGTGGGTGGAGGAAGTTAAGCCAGACAGCGTAGTTATTTGCTCTGATTCATGTGCAGGGTTAATGAGTCTCCAGTCCTTTAGCTCATGTAGCAGACAAGACCTGCTTTATGAGGTGCTACAAACCCATGGCAGGATTAAACAGATGGATAGACAGATAAGATTTACTTGGGTCCCAGCCCATGTGGGGGTGGAGGGGATGAAGCAGTTGATGTACTGGCTAAACAAGCACTTAGTAGTGGGGATGTTGTAGTTTCAATGAGCAAGGCAGATGGGGAAAAGACTGATATGGACAGTGATGGTGCAGAGATGGCAGGAGCAGTGGAATAGTGATACTAAGGGCAGGCATTTATTTCAAGTACAGAGGAAAGTCGGGGAGGACGGCAGGAAGGCACAGAAGAGAGGAGGCTATTTTTTACAAGAATAAGATCTTAAATGTGATAGGAAAACATCCAACAGGAAAGTGTGATTATTGCCAGGAAACAGAGACCGTGGAGCATGTATTACAGTTTGGGCAGGATCAGACGGAAAGAGAGAGGATGAGATCTAGTATGAGGAAGAAGGGGATACAGGAAATTAGTTTAAAGAGTATATTGAGTAGAACGTCATTAGATATAGTCTCAAATATTTTGTTATCTTTTTTTAAGAGCAACGGGGCTGGCAGGTAGGATTTTGTTTCACACTGTCTCTGGCCCACACTCCAGTATAGTAGGTGGCGGTAATGCACCATAACGTTGGATGCCAACCGCCGATAAAACCCACTGAAGAAGAAGAATGGCACGCTTTGTGTTTCCATGGGAAACAGAATTGCTGGATGAGATAACGCGAGATTTTGCGACAATCACGTTGCCTGTCTCTTCTCACAAACATGGCGGACTACCGAGAAGCGCCCTTGGCCACTCGGCCAAAAACATTGGACCCAGCTGAATATTTCAACCTTTCGCTGGACCAGAGACGTGCCGAGGAGGAGAGGGCTGGTTTAAGGGCTCAGCTGAAGAGACAATATCAGATGCAGCTGAACAACCCCCACAGAAAAGAGCTTATTGTAAGTACAGAGGAAGCTAACATGCAAACGTTAGCTAACTTGCTAATGTCAGACCCACATTTCACCCAGGGTAATGCTAACGTTTGGTAGCCAGCTAGCATTCGCTAGTCAGACTAAAAACCCGAGCCGACAAGATAATGTTGTGCCTGCATTCGGCATTTGAGCTATTCAGCAAATGCCATCTTATGTTTATCTACCTAACTAGCTAATTTACTAATCTAACATCAGGCAACAGCACAGGAAGTTTTTGAGAGTAAGTTAGCTAACGTTAGTCAAGCTGGTTATATGATGCCTGGCGTTCGCTAGTTTAGTTGATGTGACCTTGATGTTAGAATTTCATAGTCATTTTGCTATTTAAACTAATTTGGGTTGCATTCAGTAACATGTATTCTGGGGGGAAATTACTGTTTGTGCATTCAACCGTTTCTGCCCTGCATAGTAGTTGACTGCAATAAGACTGGCACCAACTCTCAAAGAATGGCCATCATTATTGACATCAAATGTTATTAGTCACATGCGCCTAATACAACAGGTGTAGACCTTACAGTGAAATGCTTACTTACATGCTGCTGTTTTTTTATTTACAGGAAGACCCTGCCTTGACACGCTGGGTGTACGCACGTACCAACCCCTACAACCACTTCAGAGCCACCAAGAAGACGTCACTGCTAGGTGGGCTCTTCGGAGTAGTGCCACTCTTCGTCCTGTACTACGTACTGAAGACTGACAGGGTATGGATGAGATGACACAACCCGTTATCCTACTCATTCCCTGACATTAGGTGTCTATTCCAAATCCACCCTAGCCTCTATACTAAGGCACTTTATTTAGATAAGGGATTGGATAGATTTTACATTTACATTTTAGTCATTTAGCAGACGCTCTTATCCAGAGCGACTTACAGTTAGTGAGTGCATACATTTTTCATACTGGCCCCCCGTGGGAATCGAACCCACAACCCTGGCGTTGCAAGCGCCATGCTCTACCAACTGAGCTACAGATTTGAGCAATATGGTGGACATTCCTCCCATCAAAGGGCTTGGTGAAGTTATTGCCATATTGATCATACTGAAGTAGTCCTGTGCCTTGGGTTAGGGGTTGATTTGCAACTGTTGTGTGGTGGGCTGTAGATTGATCAAACATGTAGATCTATCTTTAGTTTTTTTACAAAAAAGTTTGGGAGAAACCTTAAAAATATTGTCAGACAAAGCTTCAAAGCGGATTCGCTCCCCATAATGCAAAAATGATCACTTTACCATGTCAATGAGCTAAGATGAATGAACAGAGTGACTTAATACTGGCTCTGAGGTCTCATACATCACTGCTGTATTAGGCTACATTTGTGTCTGTTCAATAGATTACTTTAGTGGGCACAGTCTGATGGCCCTGTATGAATGTAGTAGGCCTACCTAACTATAGTCAGGGGGAAGAATATGTGCTGCTCATGTCTAAGCTCATCTTCTACTCTACTCCGCCACCGTTCTCTGTAGTGTCTGTGACATTTTAGTCTGAATGGCAGCCCTTCCTTCTCCCTCCATTGTTATTGAGATCCTCTCCCTGAATCTGTGCCTGAATCAGAGAGCGATGTCACAGAGACCTGGGTACTGAGTGTGCCATTGTCACACTGCTGTAATTCCTCTGCTATTTCTCCACTGAGAGGAAGAAAAACGACCTTGTATTTATTCATGAGACATTCATTCATATTCTAAGCGGTGGAGGATGAGGAGGTTGCTTAGGTGATGATGCCATCTCTCTGTTGCCATGGGGACCTCACTAACCCTCTCCTCTGTCTCCAGGACAAGAAGGAGGAGCAGATCAAAGCTGGGACCTACGACCGCAAGTTCAAACTCGCCTACTGAGTTTGCTCATCACGGACGTCCAATGTAAAGTGTTGTAGAGATAATGTCAGTGTGTATCTATTATTGATAACTGAATAAAACTTCCTTCATTGTTTAAAACAAAATGAGTGTCTGCCTGTCATTACAAACATCAAAGAGCTATGAATGACATGAGCAGCAAAGTGATGAAAACATGCTAATAAGACTTCCAGGGTATTTATTCATTTCTGTCCAGTACCATTTTTTATCAATGAACTGGTCAGTCAAAGAAATGGGCATAGACCAAATTACCCAAGCACTCAATATTATGCTGTGAGTGATATGTAAGGGATAATCAACGAGAGGCTATGTGTTCTAAGGAAAAATAATGAACGACGTGGAAGGTGTGTTCCACGACGCACTAGTTTAGCTAACCAAACCATCAGTCCTAGCTTGCTATTTTGAAAATCGAATTCAACAATGCCAAAAATGTCTTCAATTCGACTTTTGCTATCAAAAGCAGCTCAAACATAGAACATGTAAGAATTAACTAGAGCCATTGAATTCTACCTGATATACTGTGCGTTAGGGAAATAATGCAAGCTCCAGAATGCCCTTCAAGCCAATCAGAAATGAGTATTCAACAATGCCATTATATAAAATCTATTGAGCCACAGTTTAGTGGTATTACATTAAATCCTAGATTATCTTCTGGGTGATCTAGGGGAAACAATGACTGTTCTGCCTCTGCTCTACTGTTTCCTGGGCCTCCAGTTGGGGTCAAAGTGTTTGCGGAGCGGCTCCCAGCACTGCCAGTAGCTCTTGTCCAGTCTCTGACACGTCTCTAGACCCCACTTAGTTACCGCCATGCTGAACGACGACTCAAACATGAAGGCCTGAGATGGAGGAAGGATGTTACTTGATGTCCCACTCTGATATGTACAGCTGTTTAAGAATTGTGATCACATCATGTGTTACCATGGTCCCCTCGGCCACCCTCTCTGGTTTGAGGGGAGCGGTGCTGTTCTTCTCGAAGCAGTCTCTGTCAGGACCGTGAGGGGTCATCATGCTGTGGAGACTGCCCCCTCCTGGCTGGAAGCCCTCCTCCTTGGCCTCATAGTGGCCCTTGATCAGCCCCATGAACTCACTCATACAGTTCCCTGGAACACAGACAGGGGGTGCTCTGACATAACACAAACACACTACTACAAAACACACAAAGAGACCAGGGTAAGGGTAGTCACTAGAGTGGCATGCTAGAAAGGACAAACGTGTCGGTAACATCAGAACTAAAGACAAGCATAAGAAGTAGCTATTTAGTTATTCTTTCTGAGGGTAAGGCTTAGAAGTGTGTGTATCATACTGTGGTAGTAGGGGGGTCTGAATGTGTGGTCGGCCACTCCCCAGCGCGGGGGGAAGATGACAAAGTCAGCGATGGCGACTCCTGGACGAGTGGACTTGGCCGTCAACACTGTGAAGATGGAAGGATCCTGGTGCAGAGATGGAGGAGAGGAAGGATAAGTGTGCGTGCTTGTGCGTGTGCACGTGTATGCATTTGTGGGAAGATCTCAATTGCATACTCCTGGCATCCTCTCCTCGTCACCTTCTCAAAACCCATTGGAGGAGAAGGTCAGAGGGGAGGGACCTCTGGCTTTCTGCCTGTGTGTGAGGTTCTCACCGCATGATCGAAGGCCACACAGTTGATGACCATGAAGTTCTCCAGGTTGTATTTGTACGGTGTGTAGTTCCCGTGCCACGCCACCACATTGAAGGGAGAGAAATCCTACAAACACACACAAGAAGAAACATAATAATAAACAAATGTATAGCAGGGAACGCGGTAGCAGGGGTGAGGCAGCACCGCCTGGTCTACTGCACCTTTGAACTTGAGATATAGCCTTACCTAAAGCCAATGTTCATTTTAGGCTATTGAAAAAAAAAACAGCCGTAAAGCTACATGAAAAGAAGAAAAAAAGAACTCAAGGGTGATTTAAAACACGGTGTACCTCTTTTCCTTCTCTGCTCTTTTTTTAATTTACCCCGTTCTTTGTGATCCTCAGCACCAGCAGGTATTATGCAGTAATTGGCTTCACTATCAAACTTTCAGCGCCCGTGGCGCAGAGAGAGGGGGGAGAGGGAGACGGTGTAGAGATATTTCTTTATCTTGATTGTTAAAACCAGAGCAATTTTATATAGCAGTGCTGTTCTGATAATGTCACTGTGAAAGAGATATTCAATGGTAGCTCTAAAATCAATATAATTCATTACAAGCTGTCTTCAGGGCTGACCCATGTACCTTGTCACATGTGCGCAAGCACACACACACATTCTCACACACATATATTCTTCCTACTCCCACAGACATAAACCATAAAACACACACTAGCATACAGTTCAAACACACACACACACAGTCACCATACACCCAGGGGGTCTAAGGACCCCAAGGCAGGTAATCTCTTGGGCATTACAGTTCCGGTGATAACTCTGGCAGACTCGATTAAAAATGTAGCACAAGATAATAAAAACACACACACACAAAACACAAACATATTGGCCCAGTCAAGCAAATAATAAGTTAATTTGAGCAATTTCATCTCTCTGCAGGAGGACCAAACAGCAGGATGAGATGCAGCAGAGATGGAACCTGCCCCCCCCCCCCCCTCCACTTCCAATCTGTGTGTGACACACACACACTCCCTGCAGTCTCAGGTTAGGTGGGGGGAAAGAGCAAGCCCCAACACCCAGTCTGACCCCAAAGAGGGAGACACAGAGAGAAAGAGAGTGGTGGATGGAGAGAGGTAGAGAGAGGTTAACGAAAGAAAGAAGGGTCCGGTGTATATCCCATGCATATATCCCCTCTAACAGGTGTTTCCACAGTTACCTCCCTCACACACACATTAACACAGAGACACACGCATCCTTTCGCCCTGTCTCCTTAAAATCCCCTACTGTCAGACAAAATGAGTCGATCCAATTACCTGCTCGACAGGACGCGTTCAGAGCAGGGCGGGAAATCATTCCCCAGTGAAATATGCTGAAATTAGTGCTTAACTCAAGCAAGGTTTTCTCCCCTGAAAGGACAGGCAGGTATCTGGCGGGAACTCCTGGACGAGCTAACTAATTATTAGTGATTAAGGCTGGTAAGGGAGCCGAGACTGGAGCCTGCTGCTGAGCAGAACAGTCAGGCGTTTCACATTAAATCATTTGGGGATGGCAGTTTAATGTTAATGTGCAGCTAACCGCTAATAGAGCCCAATAGCAGTTCTGTATTAACTCGCAGCTAACTGCTAATAGGCCTCACTTTAATAGTCTGTACAGCTATTCTCAGGGCCCGATTCAATCAGATCCGCTTTAGCCGACATCCGCATAGCTGATGTTTGGACAGTGTCAAAGGTAGAACTGCTTTAGAGCTGTCAAATCCACAAGCAGCTCCCGGCATTATACCTAAAGCAGACGTTGCCATTGGCTGCACTGAGTCACATTAAGAGAAATCCCATGCAGCCTTGTTTACAAGTTCGAACACTGGAATGTGAGATGTAATCTACACCTTGATTAGGCTGATAGAAATCCTCATTAATTCTATATAGCCTACACTTTCTTGTTCTGAACTTCTAATGGGAGTGGGATGGGTGTGGCTTAATGGCAATGATCACAAGAGCAGCTGCTCACCGATTTGACAGCTCCAACGCAGTTCCACCTCCGACACCGCCAAAACATCAGCTATGCGGGTGTCAGCTATCTGATTGAATCTATGCCTCAGTGTTGGGATGGCTAGCTAAACGCTAAAATTAGTGGTGTCCCATGTATACATTACAAGCTACTATCATGAATTATAATGCAGTGTATTGTAATGTCTGTGCAAGAACATGCACATATGCTCCCAAAGACACACACGTGTGTACTAACGCACATAGCAGAAATAAGCAAGCATGTCCCCACACACACACACACCTGTTGGCTGGAGAAGAGCTTGCCCTGGTACTTGTTGATAACAGTGTAGCCTGTGGCTACCTCGCGGTCCTCATACCACGCCACCGGAGTTACGAAGTCCCTGGGATTGGCCAGTCCGTTGCCCCCTAGTAGGACGATTGGTTCACAGATGTTATGGTGTTGAAAGGTGAGAGGGTTAAAGTCAAGGCGTTGACATGTGGAGGTAGAGAAGGGGTGTCACACACACCTATGGGTCCCAGGTCGGGGAGCTCAAAGTGCGCTCCGTACACCTCCAACACGTAGCCTCTGGTCTCCCCGAACACATCCACACTGAAACGCATTCCTTGCTGCAACACACAGGGGACATGCAGGTGAGGTGATGGACAGGTGAGGAGGACGGGTAAGAGAGTCAGGTGATGAGGGAGAAAAAGGTAAGAGGATTCAGGTGAACAGCAGAGATTGAAAGGTGTTGCCGTCTCACCTGGATGACACAGATCTCGTTGGGTTCCACCATCATCTTCCCAAACTCTGTAGTGACCAGAATCTCCCCCTGCTGGGGCACTACAAGACAGAGGAAGGTGGGAGAGTACTTAAGACTGCTTATGTTATGTTGTGTTTATGTGTACTTCAAAGACCAAATACATATTTGACTGACCAATGAGAAAGTCTCCATCGGAGTTGTTGAAACAACTGAAAAGCAGAGACTACATTATTAAAAATTTGATATTGGGCACAGAGTTGTAAAGATCAATGATGGGAGAGATCAAATCGAGTATGTACTACTGTACAGTTGAAGTCGGAAGTTTACATACACTTAGGTTGGAGTCATTAAAACTTGTTTTTCAACCACTCCACAAATTTCTTGTTAACAAACTATAGTTTTGGCAAGTCGGTTAGGACATCTACTTTGTGCATGATACAAGTAATTTTTCCAACAATTGTTTACAGACAGATTATTTCACTTGTTCACTGTATCACAATTCTAGTGGGTCAGAAGTTTACATACAGTGAGGGGAAAAAAGTATTTGATCCCCTGCTGATTTTGTACGTTTTCCCACTGACAAAGACATGATCAGTCTATCATTTTAATGGTAGGTTTATTTGAACAGTGAGAGACAGAATAACAAAAAAATCCAGAAAAACGCATGTCAAAAATATTATAAATTGATTTGCATTTTAATGAGGGAAATAAGTATTTGACCCCTCTGCAAAACATGACTTAGTACTTGGTGGCAAAACCCTTGTTGGCAATCACAGAGGTCAGACGTTTCTTGTAGTTGGCCACCAGGTTTGCACACATCTCAGGAGGGATTTTGTTCCACTCCTCTTTGCAGATCTTCTCCAAGTCATTAAGGTTTCGAGGCTGACGTTTTCCAACTCGAACCTTCAGCTCCCTCTACAGATTTTCTATGGGATTAAGGTCTGGAGACTGGCTAAGCCACTCCAGGACCTTAATGTGCTTCTGCTTGAGCCACTCCTTTGTTGCCTTGGCCGTGTGTTTTGGGTCATTGTCATGCTGGAATACCCATCCACGACCCATTTTCAATGCCCTGGCTGAGGGAAGGAGGTTCTTACCCAAGATTTGACGGTACATGGCCCCGTCCATCATCCCTTTGATGCGGTGAAGTTGTCCTGTCCCCTTAGCAGAAAAACACCCCCAAAGCATAATGTTTCCACCTCCATGTTTGATGGTGGGGATGGTGTTCTTGGGGTCATAGGCAGCATTCCTCCTCCTCCAAACACGGCGAGTTGAGTTGATGCCAAAGAGCTCGATTTGGTCTCATCTGACCACACCACTTTCACCCAGTTCTCCTCTGAATCATTCAGATGTTCATTGGCAAACTTCAGACGGCCCTGTATATGTGCTTTCTTGAGCAGGGAGACCTTGCGGGCGCTGCAGGATTTCAGTCATTCACGGCGTAGTGTGTTACCAATTGTTTTCTTGGTGACTATAGTCCCAGCTGCCTTGAGATCATTGACAAGATCCTCCCGTGTAGTTCTGGGCTGATTCCTCACCATTCTCATGATCATTGCAACTCCACGAGGTGAGATCTTGCATGGAGCCCCAGGCCGAGGGAGATTGACAGTTATTTTGTGTTTCTTCCATTTGCGAATAATCGCACCAACTGTTGTCACCTTCTCACCAAGCTGATTGGCGATGGTCTTGTAGCCCATTCCAGCCTTGTGTAGGTCTACAATCTTGTCCCTGACATCCTGACAAACGTTTCGGGTAGCCTTCCACAAGCTTCCCACAATAAGTTGGGTGAATTTTGGCCCATTCCTCCTGACAGAGCTGGTGTAACTGAGTCAGGTTTGTAGGCCTCCTTGCTCGCACACGCTTTTTCAGTTCTGCCCACACATTTTCTATAGGATTGAGGTCAAGGCTTTGTGATGGCCACTCCAATACCTTAACTTTGTTGTCCTTAAACCATTTTGCCACAACTTTGGAAGTGTGCTTGGGGTCATTGTCCATTTGGAAGACCCATTTGCGACCAAGCTTTAACTTCCTGACTGATGTCTTGAGATGTTGCTACAATATATCCACATAATTTTCCTTCCTCATGATGCCATCTTTTGATTTTCCCATGATGTCAAGCAAAGAGGCACTGAGTTTGAAGGTAGGCCTTGAAATACATCCACGGGTACACCTCCAATTGACTCAAATGATGTCAATTAGCCTATCAGAAGCTTCTAAAGCCATGACATAATTTTCTGGAATTTTCCAAGCTGTTTAAAGGCACAGTCAACTTAGTGTATGTAAACTTCTGACCCACTGGAATTGTGATACAGTGAACTATAAGTGAAATAATCTGTCTGTAAACAATTGTTGGAAAAATTACAAGTGTCATGCACAAAGAAGATGTCCTAACCGACTTGCTAAAACTATAGTTTTTTAACAAGAAATTTGTGGAGTGATTGAAAAATGAGTTTTAATGACTCCAACCTAAGTGTATGTAAACTTCCGACTTCAACTGTATATAATGGTATCATACAATGGAAATATACACACACCTGTCAATCATGGAGATGTTGCAGGTGAACATGTGGATGCCGATCCCGTTGCGGGACTTGGCGTCTCCTGCTCCACATAGGGTGTGCAGACCCTAGGATTGACACATGGGAGAACCAATCAGACCCAGGAAAGAAGATAGGCTGTACCAGAAACAGCTAATCGCTGTCATGGAAAACCAGAGGGTTTAATGATGGAGGGTTAATGTCTTACTGTCACAAAGTCCACTTTCTTTTCTGAGGATTTGGGGATGGTGAATGGCAGCCATCGTAGCTAAGAGTCAGAAAAAAACATTTCAAAACCACATTTCTCAGTTTCTTCCTCCTAATCTCTCTCTAATTATCTCCATTGTCTCACTTCCCAAACCCTGGCCTTTTCCTTTCTCTCTCTCTCGCTCTCTCTCTCTCTTCCTCTACCTGGTTAGGGTCAGGTTCCACTTCATCCCACTTCTCTGTTAGGCTCCCACAGTGCATTGCGGTGTAGGGCTTGTGACGGACAGATGGCAGGATACGGTAGAACCAGCTGGGAAACAAGGAAATGGAGTTAGGAAAGAGAGAGAGAATGTCTGTGTATGTTCATGATTAAGTGTCTGAATAATGTTTATTACATTTGTACATTTTAGTCATTTAGCAGACGCACTTATACAGAGCTATTTTCAGGAGCAATTAGGGTTAAGTGCCTTGCTCAATGGCACATGGACAGATTTTTTTCACCTAGTCGGCTCGGGGATTCAAACTAGTGACCTTTCGGTTACTGGCAGGGTTGGGGAGTAACTGATTACATGTACAAAAAAAATGTAAATGTAATCAGTTACCTTACCAGAATTTTTTTTTGTATTACATTATTGGATTACATTATGACACCTTTCTGTTTTTTCAATAACATTCAATTCAGCATTTAAAAAAGGTGCAAGTTTACATTTATTCCACCACAGCGAGTCTGACCACAAGTCAGAGACCACTATGATGACAAACCAAATGCCTTTGATGGATTGTTTTTTTGTCTTCTTCTAATGCCTCTTAAGGGGAAAGTAATCAAAAAATAACTGGAAGTAATCAGATTACATTACTGAGTTGGGGTAATCCAAAAGTTACTTACTGATTACAATTTTGGACAGGTAACTAGTAACAGTAATGGATTACATTTAGAAAGTAAGATACCTAACCCTGGTTACTATCCCAACGCTCGTAACTGCAAGGCTACCTGCTGCCCTATATCTGGTGCTAACATGCGCCCTTTGTCTTAATCTTGTCACACCTACTGATTGTGCCAACATTTTTAGACAGGTGTAGATGATTAAAAGACAACTTGTGATCTGATTGTTATCATATCTTCCTGACCACCTCCAGAGGTAGTCAGGCACGCATTGTGTTTGGATATCAATCAAGTGTAAATAGATCTGGATGGTCAAACTATTTAAATCATCATTATACTGGCCTCTAAAATCATTGACAGGCAGCATCATTGACTTACGGCATCAGTAATTGTCTTAAAATAAATGAATTCAGAATATCTGTCAAAGAATTTGTATACAAGGAGGCACCAGCTAATATGGTCTCATGCTGACACAGTGGATGGATGAGACATATTTTAATACAATGTGTAGACGTGACAAACCTTGATCAGATAGGCTGCATCAAAAGACCAATTAGTAGCAAAAGATCAGAATTGGGCTGCCTGTGTAAACGCAGCCATAGTGATTAGATCTTATTGATCAGATCACAAAACTCACATATTAGCGGCAGGTGTAAACGAGGCTTCCGTGTAGGCCTATGTATTAAATCTGAGCGATGAAAGAGAAGGAGAAGTTTCTGTCAATCACTATGCAATGACTGGATACCTCCTCTTATTGGTTGGCCGTGGGCAGGTGAAAGCGGAGCCGGAGAGTTGTTCAGCGTAGAGACCGTAGGGACACACCTGAGGGTTGTTCTGGAGAGACAACAGAGCTGGGTTCAACATCCTAGAGGGGGGTAACGTACACTGGTGTACCAGACACCCCCGCAGCCCCCTGCCTACAAGCTCTGGGGGCCCATGCACCTGTCATCGGTGTCTATTATTATTTTTGTATTTAATAAATAATTTTGACAGTAACCCCTCCAAAAAGTAATTCATAAACCTTTTTAATTTCCATATGTACTAGGAAGCTAAGTACAGTTGAAGTCGGAAGTTTACATACACCTTAGCCAAATACATTTAAACTCAGTTTTTAAAAATGTCTGACATTTAATCCTAGTAAATATTCCCTGTCTTAGGTCAGTTAGGATCACCACTTTATTTTAAGTCGCATTCCCAGTGGGTCAGAAGTTTACATACACTCAATTAGTATTTGGTAGCATTGCCTTTAAATTGTTTAACTTGGGTCAAACGTTTCGGGTAGCCTTCCACAAGCTTCCCACAATAAGTTGGGTGAATTTTAGCCCATTACTCCCGACAGAGCTGATGTAACTGAGTCAGGTTTGTAGGCCTCCTTGCTCACACACGCTTTTTCAGTTCTGCCCACAACTTTTCTATAGGATTGAGGTCAGGGCTTTGTGATGGCCACTCCAATACCTTGACTTTGTTGTCCTTAAGCCATTTTGCCACAACTTTGGAAGTATGCTTGGGGTCATTGTCCATTTGGAAGACCCATTTGCGACCAAGCTTTAACTTCCTGACTGATGTCTTGAGATGTTGCTTCAATATATCCACATAATTTTCCTTCCTCATGATGCCATCTATTTTGTGAAGTGCAACAGTCTCTCCTGCAGCAAAGCACCCCCACAGCATGATGCTGCCACCCCCGTGCTTCACGGTTGTGATGGTGTTCTTCGGCTTGCAAGCACCCCCTTTTTCCTCTAAACATAACGATGGTCATTATGGCCAAACAGTTCTGTTTTTGTTTCATCAGACCAGACGACATTTCCCCAAAAAGTACAATCTTTGTCCCCATGTGCAGTTGCAAACCGTAGTCTGGCTTTTTTATGGCGGTTTTGGAGCAGTGGCCTCTTCCTTACTGAGTGGCCTTTCAGGTTATGTCGATATAGGACTCGTTTTACTGTGGATATACATACTTGTGTACCTGTTTCCTCCAGCATTTTCACAAGGACCTTTGCTGTTGTTCTGGGATTGATTTGCACTTTTTGCACCAAAGTACGTTCATCTCTAGGAGACAGAACGCGTCTCCTTCCTGAGCGGTATGACGGCTGCATGGTCCCATGGTGTTTATACTTGCGTACTATTGTTTGTACAGATTAACGTGGTACCTTTAGGCGTTTGGAAATTGCTCCCAAGGATGAACCAGACTTGTGGAGGTCTACACATTTTTTTCTGAGGTCTTGGCTGATTTATTTTCATTTTCCCATGATGTCAAGCAAAGAGGCACTGAGTTTGAAGATAGGCCTTGAAATACATCCACAGGTACACCTCCAATTGACTCAAATTATGTCAATTAGCCTATCAGAAGCTTCTAAAGCCATGACATCAATTTCTGGAATTTTCCAAGCTGTTTAAAGGAACAGTCAACTTAGTGTATGTAAACTTCTGACCCACTGTAATTGTGATACAGTGAATTATAAGTGAAATAATCTGTCTGTTAACAATTGTTGGAAAAATTACTTGTGTCATGCACAAAGTAGATGTCCTAACCGACTTGCCAAAACTATAGTTTGTTAACAAGAAATGTGTGTAGTGGTTGAAAAACGAGTTTTAATGACTCCAACCTAAGTGTATGTAAACTTCCGACTTGGGCTCCAAGAATGTGACTGATCAAAGTACCTCAGGCCTTGGAAAATAAATAATTGAACTGATTGAAAGTAAGGGGATATCGGTGAAGAAATGCCGTTGTCAAGTCTATGATGTCTCCAAGATGGGAGAGGGCGTGAGGACAGCTCTTGTCATGTAGGTTATACAGGACAGTTGTATTATTATTATTTTTATCAATTGTTTGCTGATTGTTTGCTGTTGTATCAAACATTTATTTTACAATCTGCAATGTTTGAATTTCTAACTTTAATTAATGAACAAGTAGGCCTAATTAAATTATTGCCGCCAGCCAGCAGTCTAAATCATGGCAGCCTTGCAAGACCGCATAGGCTATAGCTTCCTGAAATGTTAGGCTTAACATGAGAAAATGACGACCAAATAGGCATACCAATAAACATTTATCCATTAGCTAAAGCAAAGCTATAGGGTACATGCCCTGGCACCACAGAAAGCCATATCATCTATTTGATAGGCAACCACATAGACATGTAGCAATTTCAGCACCATTGACAGCTATTGGGGCGCAGCTATATACAGGGGCGCAACTTTCACTGGGGACGGGGAGACATGACCCCCCCCCCCCCCCCCCCAGTTGTATTATTGATACAAAATGCGGCACTGGTGTGCTTTAGGACCATGCAGACGCCTCAGAGCGGTTGGGTAGGCTGTTTTCCGGTTTTAGACAGCTGGATTTAGGACCGCATGGACACCACAGAGTGTGTGGACAGGCTGGCTATGTGAAGGCAAAGCTTCTGAAAGGCTGGTGTATAGAACCAGCATGTGAGAGATGAACAGAGGCAGCTGCTGTCTGTGTATGTTGTACTTTTTCTCAGAGATGTAAAAGAAAGCAGAGCAGAAACTGGCTACTCTTTAGTTGACTGATCTAGCTGGCAAAGTAACTGCTGTTTGACAGAAAAAAAATGTATTTATTCCCAGCGCTGAGCTAGTTGTGTAACTGACATGTTACGTTAGCAAATGTTTCAGCCCCTCTCCACTGAAGTAAATGAACTACTAGCAGCTAGTTTAGTTAGCTAGCTAGTAGCTACCGCAGCCTGTTCAGCTCTAGCTAGCCTCTAGCTATCTGTCAGGTAGCAGTATCTAACAGCTCTTGTGTGTATGGATATGTTTTGTAGCCTTTGTTTTGTCCCATTTCAACAGAAGTAAATGTGATGATGTACCATTGTACCATTAGTTGGCTAACTTTAGCTAGCTAGCTCACTAGCTCACTAACGTTAGCTATTATTTTTGCTTCAATCACTCTAGACCTGAATCAAACGATGAAACCAGCAGCCAAACGATTGAAGACTGATATTCTGACTTTTTTTCAGTGCAATGTGAGTTTTTATTAGTCAGTATAGCAATGTAACGTTGTTGATCTGTCAGTTTCCCTAGCTAATTTCCTACTTTTCACACTGATACGGTATAAACAGCTCTACAGTCTTCACTGTCATGGTGCACAGTCAGTACACAACCCTATGCTCATCATGTCTTAGCAGAATCAGATGGTGACAGGTGTCCATGCAGGGTCAGACAGCCAGGGAAGACCAGTCTACGGCACTCAGGTGAATTTTGCAGTATATTATAACAATCACTGAATGGATACAAAGTTCCATCTTGAGTTGATGGGTAGGCTACAGTCTGGGATCTGGGAATAATGGTCATTTCAATTATTGAACCATTGATTATATTATTGGATAATATAATGTATAAATGTACACCAAGGTAATTCTTTGTCATGCCTCATCTGAGCAGGATCAGATGGTGACAGGGGTCTTACCAGGGTCAGGTAGCCAGAGAACCTTTGCAGACACAACACTTTATTCTCTCTGTGCAGCAAACACTGGACAAGCAAGAAGCTTAAAAGATTGAAACTATTTTAAGGCGGTCTGACAAACATCTAAAGTTGATTTACAAACAGTTTCAAGGGTTGATAGAGCCTTTTCCCAATAAGACAAAAGGGGACATATTTGCATATGTTATAGTCTTTTGAAGGCTGGCTGAATTCTGGCAAAGAGTATGTTATTTTATCTGAGCATGTCTACAGATTCTCCCTTCACCCTGTTTTTGTTTGCTTGGAAATGTTGATCCTGGAGACTGTTATCAGAAGAATCGGTGTAACCTAGCATTGATAGCGGTTAAGAAATGCATTGCCATTAATTGGACGGTTGGTTATCCTCCCGCAATGGATGGCAGAAATGTCAAGTTATGTATCACTAGATTTTAATTATTACAAGATTAAGGGTATACTGTGCAATTTTCATAAGGTCTGGATGCCTTAGATGGAATACTGTTCGACAAAAGGAGTCTGTATTGAAAACATGCCTACATCAGGGAAGATACCTATTTAGGCAATCCCTAGCTACTGGGCTGCTCAGTCCTGGCCCTGAGGGTCTGCCGTACTGTTGGTTCTCACTCTGGACTTGGCCTAACACAACTGAAACCAATAATGAATGTTTCACTAAGATCCTAAAGCTGAGTGGGGTGTGTTGGGTTGGGGCACTGCAGGGCCGTGGACCCCTAGGGGCAGGACGGGGTGACCAAGCTATATTGTGTGCAAAAAGAGCTCTACTGTACTATTAGGTCTATGATGTGAATTATATGGAGGATGTACTGTTTCTGGGTGTTCATATGTAGGTGTATGTGTGTTTTTATTAAACGTATGTTTTTCAAACCTTTCCCTTGAGACATAAAAAAAAGATGGGAAGGAAGTTGTTGGGGAGAGAGTTGAGTTACTGACAAGACTGGTGGGGGTCTGGCGTGTAGGTGGCTCGGGCTGGCTGGGCGGTCTGGCTGAAATTTGATATGGAGGATGTCTTAATAAAGACAATCAAAAGTTGTCTTTGTACTTTATTTGTAAGAGTTGTTCATTTGTTAGGCTATTGGTTAAAGGTGCAACACAATATTGATTATTGAAATATCATTGATCTAGTTCAGTCTTATCAATCACTTAAAACATATTTAATAATGATCTCTTACCTAGCTTGATGACTGTGGACATTTTTGCTTACATTTTGTTCTAAATAGAGACAGCTAGAAGGGCCATGGGTCTAGATTGACCCTGTATAGACCTACTTTGTAAGTGTCTGTCTGGCTGGGGGGGGGGGGGGGGGGGGGGGGGGGGGGTAACTCCGAACTTGCGGGGGTCCAGAGAAACTGCCTTATGCCGGTGGTAATGTGGGTGTGAGGGGGTGTTGCTGGATAACAGATGAGGGGTATAGATGGGTTAGCTGACGTCACAAAAACAATGCCCGCACTTCAATGGGGCAGAAGTCTTTGTGTTGTTGTGATTATGGATGGCCAGATAGCTAGCAACAATGACAAGAAGCTACCATGTGGGGAATCGTAAGTGGCTCATTTCAGCTCGTTGTATATTATTACTGATATCATGTCTTGTTTTGATGTGTTTTGACTGATGTCATGTGGTAATATGGCAAAAAATCACAAGCTAACCAACAACTGTAACAATGTATATATTTGAGAGACAACAAATGCTCATTGTGCAAATGTATGTATGTTTTCAATAAACATTGGAGACGAAATATAGTTTACATGTTGTCAACAATCTAAGCCAACCCCATCTGTTTTGCCCATAGTTGTGCAAGAGTTGGTTTTGTTGCTAAGCAACCAACCCCTCTATGGAATGTTACCTGTCCTTCAGGTAAGGCTCCTGGACAGCGAGGGTCTTCAGAGGAGAACTCATTCCCAAACCCACTCAGGTACTGGAAGAGAGCAACATATTAGGGGACAGACAGTTGAGTGGACAGTGATAGGCCTAGTCTTTAAAAAAAATACATATTGGGTGATATTGTGACATGATAACTATACTTTGATTGGCGTCAATGTTGAGTCATGCTACTTGTGTCATCTGTTTGCATACTTGACACACAATGCAAACATACATGACTACTCTGATAGGCATGCAACTCCACAGGACGACCCCTCTTACTCTCTTCTCTGCTACACTAGGAACTTGGCCCGCGCACGAACCTAAAAATGGTGCTGAGTCATCGCGCGGTCTGCAAAAGCGCACGGGTCTGTTTCCAATAATGTACGCGCACACGTGACCTACATTCCTTACGGAGTAGGCTACTTTACTTTGTGGGGAGAAGAATGTCTGAAGTCTCAGTAAACAATACAGTGGTAATAGAATATATTATATAAATGTCAACTGACGTTAACTGATAACAGACACACACTGCCACTGTGTTTAGCCTACAGCGCTCAGAACTCTGCGCTCCACAAGCCGCTTGGGCACAACATCTGGGCAGCTGCTGAATCCAGCCCGATGATTGGACAGAAGGGAACGCCCCTTCAGCGCACCGCTTGACAGCGACAGTAGGCTACAGATGTATAGCTTACACACAGTTAAGTCTTGCATATTGTAAGATTTCTGACATTAGTTGATGCGATTGATAGCTCCATGACCCATAAAGTAAAACATTCAAATGACAGAAGAATAAAAATTATTATCGTTCCTACATGTAAAAATATATAATGAAGAAAACAATGAATGAAAAATAACAGTCAATCCCCGCAATAATATATAACCTGAACATTGCTTAATCATAAAAGGAGGTAATATTTACTGAAGTTCTGCCTCCTTACCTTGAGCCCAGCCATTGTGCTTACTTATGAAACTGTCCAACTGGAGCAAATACGTTTTCAATGTCCAACACCCTTGTTAAAACGTATAAAAGTTATCTCCAAACTTAACTAGGTTAGCTCCCTATCCTATCCGCCACACAACCCCCACGTCCCGTGATAGAGTGAAGAAGAGAGGAGGGCTGGATTTATGCTCTTTCTCAATATGGCATCAATTAGGACCAGACTCGGTCCGTGACGTATATGGAGGGTTCTCTCTGAGAGAAGGGGTTGGTTATCCAAAGAAAAAAACAGAAAGGGATGGAGAGGCTGAGGTCGGGGGGCTCAAAAGTGCGCAAACAAGGACCAAAGTCATAGCCAATGCAAATACAACCAACCCCAAACCACCTTTTAGATACAACATGGGTCCAATGGACATGATACGTTTCACGGTTTCCTGTGCTCCAACCACACTGACGGCTATGGATGCACTGGGCTGATGGTGATGCACATAGAAATATAATTAATATCTATGGTGATGCACACCAGCGCACTGAAACCAACGAGATGATGACCCCGGTAGACCTACTTCACTAGCTGGCGATGTTGGAAAGGACAAAAGTGGCAATATCGTCAGGCCTGTTGAGCATGTGGTATATCAGCCTGGGTATAGGCCTATGAATTATTGAACTTGGTATAGCCTAAGAATCAGGAATATAGGCCTATATCATTGTGGATAAAATCGAAATGGACAAGCAATCTGTGGTATAGAGATTTTGAAATGATTTATTATTTTGATCTGCTTGATAGCCTATGCACCTGCCTACACACTGGGCAAAACTGGTTGAATCAACGTTGTTTCCATGTCATTTAAACCAAAAACATAAATGTGATGACGTTGAATCAACGTGGAAACCTGATTGGATTTGCAAAAAGTCATCAACTTTGAACCTACAGTAAATCCAATGACATGGTGACATGGTTGTGTTGATTTCACGTTGAATTCATGTTAGTTGACAACTCAACCAAATGTAAATCAAAATTAGACGTTGAAATGACGTCTGTGTCCAGTGGGTAGGCCTGTCTAGGCCTATTTGTTTATTCATAATACATTAAATGGATATTACATGTAAACATGCAATCGAATTGTCATTTGAACAACATACAATATACAGAATAAAAGACGAAAAAAATCTACATTATTCCAAATGTATTCAGTTCATTTTGTCAAAAGGAGAGGACCAAACTGGGCGCACATAATCTCCCAGCAGTATCAAAAATAATCATTTTCCCTTTCTCATTCTTCCTCCCAATCCACTCTCTTGTCTATTTCTTTTCTTTTTGGGAGGTGTCGGACTAGGGTAAATGATGGCAATTCTCATAGCGAGTCGCAAATAAACTCTGTGCGGCAGAAGTAACTGTTCTCCAGCGAGGCGTGCAGTTGTCGCGGGCGCCCCGCTGCGAAGCAATTAGGGTGCTGCGTCGCAGACGAGAAAGCCCAATTGCGAAAAATATCGCGACCCAGTCTGCGGAAATTGATCTCCTCCTTGGATGGAGGGGAAAAAAGTGATTTTAATTTCGCCTCCGAGTTTGATGATAGAATTCTAGAGTATTTGTCACCTCTCCGGGTAGGCCTGTGTGTTTTAAGAGGGGCTGAACGACTGAAGAATGGAGGAAAGTAGCCTATTCCATCCAGACGGTTGTATCTATGCATGAGTGAGTGGGTAGTAAATGGTTTGTTATTAGAGGCCTGCTGGACTCAATGTCTTGATGGGAAATGGCATCCATATCTTAGCTCACCTGCTACAAACCCCAATCCACCCACCCAGCACGAAACCATAGGCCTACACACAGTGCATCAGATTGTCTGGACCAGTCTGCATTTTGACCCGATTGAAACAGAATAATATTTAATGAAAAATATTTATTGTTGTCTGTCACTTGTTGTCTGTTACAGTGGGGGAAAAAAGTATTTATTCAGCCACCAATTGTGCAGGTTCTCCCACTTAAAAAGATGAGAGAGGCCTGTAATTTTCATCATAGGTACACGTCAACTATGACAGACAAAATGAGAAAAAAAATTCCAGAAAATCACATTGTAGGATTTTTTATGAATTTATTTGCAAATTATGGTGGAAAATAAGTATTTGGTCAATAACAAAAGTTTCTCAATACTTTGTTATATACCCTTTGTTGGCAATGACACAGGTCAAACGTTTTCTGTAAGTCTTCACAAGGTTTTCACACACTGTTGCTGGTATTTTGGCCCATTCCTCCATGCAGATCTCCTCTAGAGCAGTGATGTTTTGGGGCTGTCGCTGGGCAACACGGACTTTCAACTCCCTCCAAAGATTTTCTATGGGGTTAAGATCTGGAGACTGGCTAGGCCACTCCAGGACCTTGAAATGCTTCTTACGAAGCCACTCCTTCGTTGCCCGGGCGGTGTGTTTGGGATCATTGTCATGCTGAAAGACCCAGCCACGTTTCATCTTCAATGCCCTTGCTGATGGAAGGAGGTTTTCACTCAAAATCTCATGATACATGGCCCCATTCATTCTTTCCTTTACACGGATCAGTCGTCCTGGTCCCTTTGCAGAAAAACAGCCCCAAAGCATGATGTTTCCACCCCCATGCTTCACAGTAGGTATGGTGTTCTTTGGATGCAACTCAGCATTCTTTGTCCTCCAAACACGACGAGTTGAGTTTTTACCAGAAAGTTATATTCTGGTTTCATCTGACCATATGACATTCTCCCAATCCTCTTCTGGATCATCCAAATGCACTCTAGCAAACTTCAGATGGGCCTGGACATGTACTGGCTTAAGCAGGGGGACACGTCTGGCACTGCAGGATTTGAGTCCCTAGCGGCGTAGTGTGTTACTGATGGTAGGCTTTGTTACTTTGGTCCCAGCTCTCTGCAGGTCATTCACTAGGTCCCCCCGTGTGGTTCTGGGATTTTTGCTCACCGTTCTTGTGATCATTTTGACCCCACGGGGTGAGATCTTGCGTGGAGCCCCAGATCGAGGGAGATTATCAGTGGTCTTGTATGTCTTCCATTTCCTAATAATTGCTCCCACAGTTGATTTCTTCAAACCAAGCTGCTTACCTATTGCAGATTCAGTCTTCCCAGCCTGGTGCAGGTCTACAATTTTGTTTCTGGTGTCCTTTGACAGCTCTTTGGTCTTGGCCATAGTGGAGTTTGGAGTGTGACTGTTTGAGGTTGTGGACATGTGTCTTTTATACTGATAACAAGTTCAAACAGGTGCCATTAATACAGGTAACGAGTGGAGGACAGAGGAGCCTCTTAAAGAAGAAGTTACAGGTCTGTGAGAGCCAGAAATCTTGCTTGTTTGTAGGTGACCAAATACTTATTTTCCACCATAATTTGCAAATAAATTCATTAAAAATCCTACAATGTGATTTTCTGGATTTTTTTTTCTCAATTTGTCTGTCATAGTTGACGTGTACCTATGATGAAAATTACAGGCCTCTCTCATCTTTTTAAGTGGGAGAACTTGCACAATTGGTGGCTGTCTAAATACTTTTTTCCCCCACTGTATATGGCCTAAAGAATACAAAACTTCATCACAACAAAACAATTGTCTTGAAAGAAGGCCTTGCCATAGGCTATACCAAAGACTAAATATCTCCTCTCCCCAATGCACTATGCAGAAAACATCCACATCTGTACACACACACACACACAGTCACACCCGACAGCTCCACTTAACGCTGATGAGATTTGCAAGGACATCCAGTATACCCTCTCTGTTTCTCCTGCTCTGATAGTAAATGTGACTTAGCTCTCTCTCTCTTTCTGTCTCTGTCTCTCTCCTCCCCCCTTCTCCCCTCTCTCTCATTCTCTCTTTCTCTTTTTCTATCCCTCCTTTTCTCATTTCCCCTTCTCTCTTGCTCAACCTCTCTGAGTTGAGTCTCTTCTGCGTTCTACATCACTAATGCTATGCAAATGTTTTAATATAAAGATAAAGACTGTTGCGGTGCGTTATGCTCTCCTGGTTCATGCCCTCAGGTTTCCACGACGATAGTTCTAACCACAAGCGCATTATTCAGGAGACATTAAACGGTGCCCTCTCTGACACACACACAAACACACTCTACACATGCCTTTTAGCACCGGCTCCCAGTTTCTAACACATCACAGTGTCACAGAATAGAAAATTACACTCTCCACCCACAGAGAAAATTGCTTTGGAATTGCTTGGTTATAAAGATGTGCTTTAAGAGGTAGAGAAAAAAGACAAGTAATACAAAAAAAAACACAGCACACAAACATAATTACTTTAGCGCTCTGTGGACAATTCGTACTGCTGGTTAATCAGTGGATTTACCAATTATATATCAGAAGATATTTGTGGAGTGTGTATGTGTAATGTGTGTTGTTGTTGTGTGTGTGTGTGTGTGTGTGGGTGGGTGTGTGGGTGGGTGGGTGTGGGAGCGTTTGTGTGAATGAGAGAGCAAGAGAAAAGAGGAAATGTTGAATTACTCATGAATGTATTACTTATCCATCTCGCCAAACTAAGCAGAAATACAATCATCGCTGCTTAGTGAACTGTCTGGAAGGCTTCAGCTGATTGCCCTCATGAGGGTCAATCAGGGGTCACACTAGGTTAAAGTCAAAGGTTAAAGCTCTTCCTGAGTGATGAAAACAGTGGAGGAAGGTGTCTGGTGTCGCCTTAGTCTTGATGAGTCAAGCAGAGGAACTGGAGAAGAAGAAGGTAGAAGATGAGATGGAGGAAAGGAACTGAAAGAGAAGGTAAAGCGTATCACCACCTGTTATGGAGAGGGATGGAGATAGAGATAAATGATTTCCCTGATAATGGTTTTGGCACTAAGTCTCCTACCAATTAACTATGATCAGACTCTAAAGGACAGTTAGGGAGGAAGGAAAGCCACAACAAACGACATACAGAGAGAAGTAGAACAGAGGAACAGGGATTAACCAAGGACACTTGAATTGAATGTTCAGTCCTGTCTCTCTCTCTATCTCTCACTCTGTCTATCAGTGAGTCTGTTAAATC